CCACACCACCACCCCCCGGGACCCCCCCTGCCCCCCACCCAAAGGCCAAAGCCCCAACGGCTATATAGCCGTTTGGGAGCTATTTTTTTAATTTTTTTTAAATATTTTTTATTTTAAAATTATACATATTGTAAAATAAGTTAATTAATTTAATGAATTAAGTATAGCTATTTTTATTTAGAAAAGTGTTTTGATTTATAATTTACAAATGTTACAAAATAGGTGTATTTCAACAAATTACATATTGTAAAGCTATTTTTAATTTAAAAACACCCTTTAGAATTAATTGTAAGTTGTAAGTTTGTAACCAATTAATCAATTTGAGAAGTGCTACATATGAAAAACTGAACGCATATTTATTTGAAATATGAAGTATATATTAAGTAGATGTAGTATGTATGTAATAAGTAGATATAAGTAGATAATAAGTAGAGATTAAGTAGATAAGAAATATAAGTAGATAATTAATATATAAGTAGATATAATAATTGTATAAGTATATGTATAAGTAGATAATTAATATATAAGTAGATATAATAATTGTATAAGTATATGTATAAGTAGATAAATAATATATAAGTAGATATAATAATTGTATAGTATATGTATTTAAGTAGATAATTAATAAATAAGTAGATATAATAATTGTATAAGTATTATATAGTAAAATAAAATAATGGAGAATAAGAGAATTTGAGAAGATGAATATGGAGATGAGTAGAGAGTAGAGAGTAGGATTTAGGAAGAGTTCGAGAAGAGGTGTGAAAAAATGTTTAAAATTAGGAGTATTTATAGGTTTTTTTTAACCCCCCACCCCCCCTAAAGCCCCGGACCCCCCTGGTACCCACCCAACGGCTATATAGCCGTTTGGGATGTGGGTCAAAGAGCAAAACGGCTCTTTACAATTTAAAAGATTTTTTTTAATAAGGCCGTTAGGCCCGGGCCCGACCCGGCCGGGCCGGGTCGCCAAAACCAAGCACCGAGCCCGGACCCCCCCCCCCCCCCCCCCCCCCCGGTTCGGGCACTGAACCGGACTCGAGAACCGGTCCGGTTCCGGGCCCGCACAGTAGCGGGCCGGGCCGGCCCACGGGCCGGGTGGCCCGAACTGGGTCCAAGACTAGGTGAACCCCTTATTATTAGGGAGACCAGAATTGGTTTCCTGGGAAAGCGAGCTTCTTTTCGCCATTGCACACGGAATTGGTGTTGTGGATTTTCTATTTTGTCTTGCATAAGACATTTAGGTTTCTGATTTTCTGTCAACAATACGTAACTTTTATTCTAAAACATTGACTTATAGAATTAAATGAACTCATTGCAGAAATTCATACACGAATAATATTCAGATTCCTTATTTTAAAATGTTATTAAGATTTGTTTTCCTCAATTAGACCATTATTTAGGAATTATTGAGGTTTCCAATGTAATTTTTAAAGTTTCTTTTTGCATTTTAGTACCAAATTTATCAAATGTCATCATATCACTTTTTGGTGACAAATAAAAATTAAAATATTAATATTTTAAAATATGAATGATTAACAACGTAATATAACTCCATAGTAAGTAAAAAATTCTACCACGTATTTTTTAACAATCAAATATTTTTTAAAAAATGTTATTTTTTTTTATATATTCAATATTGGTGTCATATGAAAGTTAATAAAAGTTATGAAATTTAATATATTTTTTGTATCAATCAGAATACGTGAAAAAGTTATAATAATGTTATAATGTTTAATAAACATGGGATTTGTTTTTTTGAATTGTGTGGTTTTAGGAAGTTTTTTAAATAGTTGTATTATTACGTGGGATTCCAACATATAGGTTAGTCCTCAATTAATGAAACACCGGTTGTAATCTAAGTCAAATACTGATGCATATACTAAATTGGAAAGAGGATTTAGAATGTTATAATGAATGTTTGCTTAGAAGATGACATGTGAAAAAACTTTCTTTGAAATGTATTATTTATATATAGATATGTAAAAAACACAACCGGCGGTCATGTATGTTCCTACTTGGCGCTAGTGCTCATTAGATGAGCCATATCACTTGGGAATCCATTTATATATCGTCCGAATAACTTTGAAGAGAATAAATATAAAACTGTACAAAGTAAAAAAAAAATTACATGAATGCGACTATGAATGACATGTATTCCTTATTACTCTCTTCGTCCCTATTTAAAAGTACCTATTTGAATTACACATGATTAAAAAAATGACAATATTTCGTACTGGTTTGACACTGTTTTGCATTGTTTTACTTACTAAATAAGGAAAGGAGACTAATGAATCGAAAAAGAAAATGAGATGCTTATTTAAGGTCGGAGGGAGTAGTAATGTTTTTACTATCATAGTGCAATTTATGCCATGTAAATAAATTCTAATACCATGAATTAAATATTTTAAAGTAGTGCATGGTATGATACACAAAATTGTAAGTAGTTTATTTTTGAAATTCACCAATAATCGTTTTAAAATAATCTTTAATCGATTTAGTGTAAAGTTATATTCATCAATAAAGCAATGGCATTATACGAATCAATAAACAAAGTGTCATTCATATTCCATGCATCGACGTGTACTATACTATTTATGTTATGATGACAATCTATTTGATAATAGTAAATTCTACAATACCCCTAAAATATGTTACTTTGTATATGTAAATCAATTATTGTAATTGAGTAATTTAAACCAATCAATTTGATAAATAATAGTCCCTTAATGGCATAATGTAGGATGCATTTGGATTTGATACGAGTTTTAAGAAAATAAAGAATAAAATAATTATTTTACAATTCTAACCTCCAAAAATAAGAAGAATAAAATGATTATTTTACAATTCTAACCTCCAAAAATAAGAAAAAGTGAGTTGGACCACAAAATGTAAATCACGAAATAATAGATAAAGAGATAAAGTGCAAAAAAAACTAAAAAAGAAAATGCATCTTATAAAATGGTGTAGAGTGAGTACTTATGAGTATTTGATCATTTGAATGATTACCTAAACGGTAAACGGTGGGGTTAATAGAATATACTCCGTATAACCGATATGTTTATAGGTGTAGGTTGTATATGTTTTACACGTCTCACGTAGTCACGTCCTCTAGTTGTCTGTGTTACGGTGTATATATATGCACTATTCCTTACAAAATTGCAATTTTAAAAAATGTATGAGTCTGTGTGACAGTGTGAGTGTGACGTAGGGGTGTTTGGAAGTAATTCTCATTCGTTCTTCTTTTTTAAAGCAGAAACAGAATCAGTTTCCAGAAGTCAGTCTCTTGCAGCTTCTAAAAAACTTAGGCCTGGGATCAGTTCGGTTCTTGTTAAAATTCGATGGAACCGTATTAAAAATTATAGGCGCTAAATTCGGTTCGGTTCTAGTTTAAAATGTAGTTCTTAAATTCGGTTCGGTTCTAATTAAATTTGGTTCGGTTCTTACATTTTTTCAGTTCCTAATAAAAATTTGTTATCCTCCTAAAATGAACACTTATTACCTTCAGTAACATAAAAAAAATTCAAATTTCAAATGATGAAATTATGACCATTACATTATACATACATGAAATTCCAATGTTCAAATATCACAAAAATATCCTAATGCAAACATTAAGTTTAAACATAACAAAAACATAAAGGTTTAAAGTAGGCATCAACTATCGAGCAAAAAGGTTTAATAACTTCAAGGTACACATCCAATAGGAGGTAGTTCAACCTCAAAATAATATTCTTCTACTAGTAAAGCACCATAAGTAAAAAGTACATAGTAATAAACTGACCAGTAATATTTGTAATTTACTATGAACAAATAACAACGTAATCAGCAGAATATTCTTATCAAATACTCCCTCCGATTTTATTTAATCTTCACATTTTGACTTCACACAAAATAAGGAAAGAACCTTGATTTTACTGTAGAGTACACTGTTGAGGCACTGTTTGACACTATTTGGCACTGTAGAGACACTGTTTGGCACTGTTGAGACACTGTTTGGCACTGCTTTAATGTAGATTTCTTTGGCAAAAAAGGAAATAAGGAAGTGTGAAGTTTATTTTAGACCATCCCAAAAAGGAAAGTGTGAAGTTTATTAAAAACCGGGGGGAGTAACAAATACCATCACAAACAAATAAAAAAAATATAAAAGTGGACTAAAGTAGTAAAATAACAACTACTTGAATTGGCGTGGTCCACAAAATATAAGGTATATTATGCAAGACGAATATTCTTGTCTTTTTCTGTCTGGAATGCCGTTTGGAACGCCGTCTGGTCACCTCCATTTGAGATGCTTCCGGCTATAATTTTTTTATGATATTTTGTGAGCATGTTCGACATGAAGCGTAGATTACATCCACCAAATTTTAGCTTAAAATGAAATCGGAAAGTGAGTTAAATAAAATATTGAAAAACATTGTGTTTTTTTATATGTATTTTGACGTAGTGTTTTTCAATAATTTATTTAACTAACTTCCGGATTGAATTTTAAACTCAAATTTAGTGGATATAATCTACATTTCATTAAAAACAAACTCAACAAATTTCATCAAAAAACTCCATTAAGAAGCACCTCAAATGAAGATTACTCATGCAATGTATAAGAAGTTCGGTTCCTGCCTAGGAACCGGAACCGAACTGGAACCGAACCGATCATATACTATAGGAACTAAACCGAAAAAATATGAAGTCCAAAATTATAAGAACCGAACCGGAAAATTCGGTTCGGTTCGTATCGGTTTTCCTGGTTTTACGGTTCCAAGTCCCAGGCCTAAAAAACTAATTCTAGGAATAAATTAGAGCATCAGATTCACTTATGCACTTTTACCCAAACACTCCAACTTCTGCTTCTGATCCTTGAGGGAGTTACCCCTATACCCAGAAAAAAATGATATGAAAAGAGTGTGTGTTTGGATAGAGGCAAACACCAGCCAACACGTCTGACTGAGACCAACTAGAAATTGTATTTCGCAAAAAACAATGCGCTGTCTCATTAAATGCTTAAATGGACATTAATTTTCATTCCCATCACGCTTCAATCCCTTCCTATAAGTCCGTTCCATCCGCCCCCTTGTTTCCACGCCCAATCCAACTGCCCAAATCAATCCCCTTCTCTCTCTCTCAACTCCCAAAAATGGCGAAAATCAGTCTACCCAATCACTCCTTTATCCTCCTTGCCCTCCTCCTCGCCGCCGCCTTCTCCGCGGACGCCGCCCTCGGCGGCGGAGGACGAACCGGCTTAGTGGGCGGGATAAAAGAGATCAAGAACGTGAAGGAAAACGCGTATGTTCAATCTCTGGGTAAGTTCTCCGTGGATGAGGAAAACAAAAGTAGCGGCAAGCAGCCGTCGGCGAAGGAGGGTCCCCTGAAATTCATAGAAGTTTTCAAGGCGGAGCAGCAGGTGGTGGCCGGAATGAAGTATTTCCTCCACATCAACGCCTCCTTGCCCACGGGTGGCGAGGGAACTTTTGATGCCGCGGTGGTGGTCCCGCCCGGCATGAAATCGAAACAGTTGCTCACCTTCAAACGGGTCGTCGGTGGGAAGTAGATGAAACCGCCGCCGCCTCTGACGGCGGGTTTGCGTTTCGGGTGCGGTGTGCAAAGATTTTAGCAATGCAGGAAATGGGATGGGTGTGATGTATGAGACTATGAGTGTCTGTAGTGTGTCGCTGTGAGGAATTATCATCGGATTATTTAATTCCTTACAAAATGATGTCATTTAATAAGATATGTCTCCTTTTGCTATTGTATTGCTCTGTTTATTGTATATTGTATGGAGTCTCGCATACACTCTACTTGGATTGGCACATGAAAATAAACATTATTTGATTTTATAAATTGCATTCATATTAAATTATACTCCATTGCATTTTTAATATCTCTAAATTGTAATCATTCAATTATTCTATGAATACATTTTTTATATTCAATTTTGTCTTTTTACAACATACAATTGCGTCACCCGATACTCACTTGGCGAGCTCTGCGGCCTAATAATATACAGGTTCGTCAAATCCAACTGGGGGAGCCCAGCGGCTAAACCTTTTCGACGACGCGATCCACGTTTCTTCGTCGTGATCCCAGGGGACGAAGCATCACCTGAGACAAAAGAGATTGGAGGAGGATAAGGAATAGCAGCCGAAGAACCCGCATCATCTCCCCTAAACACCGGGCCCGAATCCACTTCGTCCTCGCCGGAAGGTTGGGAACCCGCATCATCACTTAGCCATTCTTCATCATTCGAAGTACGATAGTCAGCAGTATTCCCCATCTCTCTATCGAAATCTTCCACAAGCTTCAGGTCAATTCGAAGGGATGTATCCTCCTCGTCAAAGGGCCAACACTCCTCGTCCAAAGAGACTGTTAAATCAATGGGGGAAGGGACGCTACGGCCGTCAGTGAACGACATTACATCTAAAACAAATCCTAAGGGTGATTTTTCGGATCAAAGTAATTTTCCCCTAGAAACACTAGATCTGACCTCCTAGGAGGCAAAGTATAAAAGAAAAGATCAAAACATATAAGAACCTGACCTTTGAAGATTTGAAGAGCTTGAAGAACACTTGAGGATCTAACTGGGAGTTTCTCTCTCTAGAAATTTCAGCAGCACTTCGTCACCCAGCAAGAAGCAAATGGGGAGAAGGCTTCGGGTTCCGGGAGTACTTATAGGCGATTCCCCCAATGGTCACTACACGTGGTACCCACCCAATGGCCACACCAACTGCCGCCTCTATCAAAGCCAATCACGTACCGCTTGTTTAAATGCCCTGCTTTACACTCCGCTACGGCCCGAGTTGACCAATCACTAATGGCATCATAACGACCACATGAGCATCAAATAGCGGATAAGGCAACGGCCACATCTCTACGGAGTACGAACCAAGATGGATCAACAAACCAATGTTGGTACCTCACCGGTGAGCACAAAAACCAAAGCCTATGGCCACCCACGCGGGAATCGTATGATGATAACCTCTAGCCTGCGACCTTCGTCCAAGGGTTCTCCCACAGGGTTACCTTGGGCAGGACCACCTAGGGGTTGGAGTCGCGAGTAACGTGGAAGTGTCGCTTCGGCCTAGGATACCTTTTTACTCCTTCACACCTCGGCATGCTCTTCGGTGCAAAGGAGTGCGGGACTAGGGGGCTGTATCGGCCACGGAAATACGTGCAAAATTCAAAACGAAAAACAAAAAGGCAACACCAGCATCGCAACGTCCACAACCATGCAGATTACCATCGGCCAAAACCAAAGATAAACTCAGGAGGCACGCATCATCCTCAAAACGAACAGATCCAAACTTTACCACCTCATGAACAAAGCCATCGCGGCTACAAGGTAGACTGATCCTCATCGGCCTCTAAAAGATTAACGAAGCCACATAACAGCCTACCAAAAGTAACAAGACATATGTGAACAGGGCCCTCTTCAGCTGAAGATGACATCGGACTACTCCCTTTCGCTTCGTCTACATCTCAGCTTAATAAGTGTGGGAGTCCTGATACAGTATATGGGCTCAGACCCCATGGCCCACATACTCAGAAGGTCAAGGACACCAGAGAGGGGCATCCACTTGGCGCCCTTCGGCCAAGTGGGTCCCGCAACGGCCAAAGGCACCGGATCGGCCAGAGACTATTCTGACAGAATGTATTTTCATATCTAATTCACTAAGTATTGTACTCAACCTATTAGTGACCTTATTTCGCCCAAAAGAGACATAATTATTGTAATGAGCCTCCTAAGCCCAAGACTAGGAGCCCAAATCCACATTTACTTCTATAAATAGCCCCCCTAAGGGGTAGTTATAGGGGATGTAGAAATATTAATTGTTCATTTTCTCTCTCTAGAATTAAATACTCTATCATTTAGTAATTCAGATATTTTGAGAGAAACATATTTAGTGCCCGTTTGATTTGGAGGAGCAAAAATGAGCCGAGAAGCCTGAATATACATAAAAATCACTAATACCCATTAAATGAAACTGTTTGTCTCGTTTTTTATTATCAGCTAACTTTTTGGGTTGAAATCTATTTAATGACCGTTAACTTGTTAATTAACTTCTTTGCCCCCTTCAATATGTTGCAATGAAGTTTTATATGTAGTGTATTATAGCCTTAATTGTTTGACAGATACAATGCCGATGTGACGTTGAAATACATATCTTACGCTTTTTTGTAATATATATATGTGCTGCATATATATTTCTTTTGTTTTTTTGTGTAATTTAAAATAGTTAATAAATGGTTTAGTTTTTTTGTGAAATATATCTTACGAATTGACACTAATGTGTAATTTATGTCCCATTTTTATTTATATGCATGTGACGCTGTGAGCTTAGCTTGTTAATATAGTTAATAAATGGTGTAGTTTTTAAAATTAATTTACTCATATTTGTCAAAAGGATTTTACTATCAAAGCCACATACATATAGTCAAAATACAAAAAATAAATACTTTTGCTGGTAGTTATAGATCCAATCGGTCATTTCAGTCAAAATATTATTGAACACTTTCACTTCAATAATTCAGTCATTTCAGCCATTGCAGTCGATATCAAACAAACCCTTAGTTACTTGCTTTAAATTTTTCTAGATTTAGTATTTTGACCGCTATCAAATTTACTCACATATTTACTTCAAACTTTCATTTTTTAAATGTCCTTAAATAAAATCATATTTCATTGTCTAGCAAACAAATGTCTATCTGGTAATAATGACTGAATTGTGTCAAACGATGTCAAGAAGTATTGTAGTACTCCCTCTGTCCCTTAAAACATTGTCATCTTTCCTTTTTTGGACGCCTAAAAACTTTGTCACTTTCCCGTGTTGATCAACTTTGACAAAGTTTTAAAAGACGGAGGTAGTACTATACAATAAAATTTACCTTTAATAAACTTAATACTCTATCCGTTAAAAGAATTGGCCAATTTAATTATTCTTAGTCAATGATAATAATAATAAACTTTGAACAATAATTTAGTTATTTTATTTATGTGAAAGTAATACTACGTACCTTTTATACTTTTTACAAAAGATATTTCCTTATAAAATTCACGTTCTTAATAATTCCATACTAACAAATGTGGAGTATTATTAATCAAACTTGATCAATCATTGATCAACAAAAGTTAACGTGACTGTTGGGCCAAGAATTTAGCAGGTAGTTATATGAGAAGACTGGCCCATGTTCGTACGAAGATGCTTACAGCCCGAACCGGAAATTTGAAGAATGGATAGATATTATGAGACTAAGTCTTATACAGTTATAACAATAGAAGGATAATGCCAGGCAACTAACTCCCTGATTCGACAAAATAGGAGCCGAACTTTGTGGGAAGAAAGTGGGAGCTGGAGTATAGGAAAATCCCACTATATATAATCTTTAGTTGTAGCTGATGGAGAGGACTCGGGCTATTCGAATGCTATATCTTTGTACTGCACCCATTATTAAAAACTCTTGATACTTCATATTCATCATTCTTATAAATTTCCATCACAAATCCTCAAATTAGTTCTTGATTAAAATATTAGTTTTATTCCTATTTTACTTTCCATCTTGATTCTTGTACGTAGCCCATTACCTACCTTTTATTTAATTGATTGTTTGAATTAGCACTAAAATTGCTAAAACAATTTGGCGCCCACCGTGGGGCATCGTGCAAGAAAAAGATCACATATGGAAGGAGCAAATCAATTGTTGATTGAATTCCATGGTCCGAGATGAAATCCGGCGCGAGATGGCGGAGAAGATGGCTCATCTCCAACAGGAAAATGATGTACTTCGGTCCCAGGTACAGTCTGCGGTGTCAATAGCCTCAAAATCAAGAATCAATCGGAGAAGTGACACAATGACTGCCGCAACACAGCTGAATCTTTGTTTCTCCCCAGCTGCGACGGATCCACCCGCAACATCGACGGATCCACCTGCAACAGTGACGGATCCCATCTCCCTCACGCTAGAGCCGTCAATTCCTCATTACAGAAGCAGAACTTGTGGGGAGCCCGGTCCATCAAGTTTCATGCAGTACGCCAGACGGAATGAACCTAGTGTATCATTTCTAGAGCCTCTGACGGAACGCTTTGGCAGACCTGTCACGACATCAGCGTCGACACTTCCAGAGCGACGCCCCGAAGTGAATTTCATCCCGTCAACAACCCGTCCTGAAGTCACCCAGATGGTAGGACCAACGTCTTCTATCCCAATACCAATCCACCCAGCCGTAGCAGATCAGATGTCCATGTTGATGGAGCAAGTGCGTCAGATGCAAGACAAGATCAACGGATTGCCAAGGGTACCCCCGCCCTTGGAAAGAGCGTCACGAACGTGCTATGAAGATTCACCTTTTGACGCTTCGATCATTCGTGTCCAACTGCCGAATAAATTTGACGTACCAACCATGGAGCCATTTGACGGAACCACGGATCCTGGAGAACATGTCGCGCGGTATAAGCAAGTGATGTCGACCGTCTCTGTTAGACTTGAACAGAAAGAGGCATGTATGTGCCGGGGATTCGGCATGACATTGACCGGTCCCGCTTTGACATGGTTCGTCAATCTTCCGAATAGAAGCGTCAGTTCATTTGCCGAACTCGTCAATCTTTTCAATCGACAGTTCGCGAGTAGTAGGGTATTGGAAAGACGGACCAGCGACTTATATCAAGCCACACAGAGGCATGGTGAATCACTTAGAGATTATTTGCACAGATTCAACGTAAGGAAGGTGTTGATCCCAAAATGTGACGTCTCGACCGTCATTGAAGCATTCCGAAGAGGTTTATATGAAGATTCAGAGCTATACCGAGAGCTGACGAAATACCCTTGTCGATCCTTCGAAGACGTCCAAACAAAGGCATTGGCTTTCATCCGTCTAGAAGAAGACTTACGATCCCGTCTTGGACATGTTGAGCATGAATGGGGGCACGGGAAATCAGAA